TACATGGAAAAATGTATTATGTCACTCTAAACTCTTAACTCAGCTAGTCTGCTGTGCCAAAGTGCTTAGGAATCTTTCATCCCAACTTCTCCAGGAAGTTAGCTACCAAATTTTACATGCCACTTTATTGATGAAAGTACAATGATGTTCGTTACTTGGCAGTTTCTAGTTTGTAATTCTGGAATTTTAGATGGAGTACTGAAAGGTAAATGCAGAGGGGATCATAAAAAGGTAAAAAAAAAAGCAACATGAACTGTGTTCTTTAAAGCTGCAGTTATATGAAATGATCAGGCAGGAGAATATAGCATGGTATAAGGATGTTTTTTAAGAGGGAAGATTGCATACAATCTGCATTTCCCTGTGTACTTCTTGAAGGATAATGAATATTAAGTATAGCCAGGGGCATATTTCTCTATCTTTTGCATCATTAAAATAAAGATCAAAATTTGGTTCATATTCTAACCTTTATGCTACATAGGCTCCATCTACATTAGCAAGGAGTAGAGACCAATACACAGATGACTTACTGGACCTATAGCCTTGGTGCTGGTGACTCTACAACTTCAGAAGAACTTCACTCTGATCTCAAGGTCTACATGGCCAAGAGCTGTTGGAGTACAGCCAGTGTGTCCTCCAGTGTAATTACGTATGCCAGGACAACTCCACAATGTAAATCTGTGATTATGAATCCGTGAATATGAATCCCTAAGGAAGTTGCTTCAAAAATTGTACTACAATATTAACGAACATATTCCCAAACATAGCAAAATCATGACTTGATCCATTTATGACTACAATGCAGGGGAATGTGGTGCTTACCAGCTGAAAAACACTATCCTTTAATGTGCAGAAAAAACACTTTTCTAAATCAATACCAAACATGATTTCAGAAATACAATATATTTACAGCTTTTGATGTGTTCACTTAGTGGCTTGAGGCTACATGGAAAAAAATAACAACTATAAACTGTAATCTTATGCTGTCCATTCTTCTGTCAGTTGCAGAACTGCTCTTCCTAATGCTAGTTAAAACAACGAGCCTCAGCGAAATGCGCTCACCTCTTAAGTATATTAATATATTGCTTTCTGGGCCTGGGGAATGTGGCAGCCCTTGCTTGCCTGGCCCCCTTGGGCTTCCCAGCAGCCCCAGCCCCATCTCAGCTCAGCCTAGGGCCATCAGTCGCTGCCCTAGGATGCTGCAGCGGTGCCAGTGCCGGTGCTGGCTCCAGCCCCACTGTGACCAGCTCCAGAACTCACCTGACTAATGAAAGCAGGCTCATGGCATGCATATCCCAGCTTTCACCTGCTGAGGACCATAGCGTAAGGACAGAGTAGGGAAAAGGCGACCCATTCACGAGAGAGAGCATTCTTGCTAGCCTGGTGATGGAATGTGGAAAGGGCTGAGGTGCTACTATTTCTCTAAAGCCATGGAAAGCCCAAGTGGTGATGAAAGAACTCCGTACTAGCTATGGACTCAACAATTCCACACAAACATCAGCAAAGGACATAAGTGTATGAAGCATCCCAACGTGACCCTGTAAGTACAGCACTGAACTTCTGTGGCGAAATGCACATTAGCAGCAAAATTCAAAAATATCTATTAGAGAACAGTAGGCTAGCAACTTTGGGTGAAAATTATGCATAACTTTTACTATGTTTCATGCTATTCTGACGGTGTCTTTCTGGTGAATTTGGTGCCTTATTCGCAAGCTGTGTGTTCTCTGCCTGAACGTTGATTGATAACTAAATGACCAAGTATTGAGACTGCACGTGTGCAACAGCGGTAGCAGTCTAAGCTGTGTGCGACTTCCCAGAAAATCTTTAAAAACGATAATTCTGGCTGGACCGAGTAAAGCTGACATGCAGGACAGTGACTGCAGTTTGCTTTAGCGTTTCGCTAGCATTCCAGAAGTTTTGTGCACACTGTGATAACACGATAGTTTTTGAAACAGGATCCACTTTAGTCCTGGCAGTATTGACAGAACTTCTTTCATTTTCCCACACTCACTTCTCTAATTTCAGTTAGCTGTGTTGTTTTCCTACAAGTCAACGTGTTCTGTGACGTTCCTACCCACCCTTATCTCCCAAAGGATGTAAATGGATGATGAAATGTTTCCTGCAAATATAACATTTGTAAATAGCCTTGGGATCCTTTAGAATGAAAAATGGTATTTGAATTATAGCTATTTTAGCTCATCCGTAATTTGCTACTTTAAGGGAAATCCATTGTCCTATTTTGTGTTATGCAATTGTTCCAAAAAAGGATTTTACAAAAAAAAAAAAAAAGAGATTCTCAATGGGGAATTAAAGCAGTTTTTATTGTTAAGTAGCTAGACAAACAGTTTATATCCATTATTTGAACTTATGGATAGTCTCTGTATGCAGTTTTCTACTTTTTTGTACTTAAGTTGCTGTACTCTACTGTTTCTACATGAGTGGCTGATATTTTCATTAAGCACTTAAAAATAACTATTTTTTAATATGAGATGATGATGATCAACTCCAGATTCAAGATATTAAATATCTCAAATACTTTATAGTAAGTTACAAAATTACTATGCAACTATAGAAGAACACAAAATAAATTGCCTTTGGCATGAAAACAATATTTTCAATCATTTTTTGAAAGATATCTATGCTCCGTGAAAGTTGGAGAAAGATGATTTTAACATTTGCATCAGAATTGAAATGCTCATAAATTAGTAATATTAGTCCATACCTAAAATGTGGTTAAATGTGGTTCTCTTTAAAAGATTTTTTTTTGTTAAATGCAATGTTAAGTGTAATTATAGTACATTGTAATCCATGTTGCTGTATACTGTAGACCAGCATAGACCAACACTTTGTGGCTCTTTTGAATGATAGATAAAGAATGTCAGAGTTATGGACAGCAATGCCAAAGAATGAAATGGGTAAAACTGGATTTAGGATGGTAGTTGATGAAACAACCTTTCAGCAAGAATGAGACCTATTAGCTTTTTTTAATATATACTGAGATAAATTGTTTTATTTATAGCAAGAATTGTATGGAACATATAAGCTCAAGAAAGTCAACTCTAAGACCCAATAAGTTATTTCCATTCTCATATGCGAACATAGCTGATGTATTAAGGTACAGCTGTTAAAAAATCTGACATACTGAAATCTTCAAGATCAGTTGTGAATACTGTCTAGAGCCAAAAAAACACATTAATTTCTTTATTGTACCTCTGGCCTGCTCCTGAGTGAAACAGAAGTAATGAAAGTAACGAAAACTTAAGGGAGAAGATTCATCCATCTGCAGAGTGACCTATTTCTTCAGCATGGAATAGCAAAAGGAAATTCATTTTCTATGAGACCATTTGACAGCTGCCACTGGAAATATGTGAAGGAGCTATTTATGTATCTTTATTGAAGGCCACATGCAAAAATGACTGTGGAATTTATGCCTGCAGAATTAGCAAATATATGTTACTGGGTAGAAAAAAATGATTTTAGAATTAGATACCTCAGGAAAAAAAATCACAGCCAATTACAGATTCACGTGGATTCTCATTGAAATAACTTGTAAATATTCAACTTCATACTTTTTCAGGCACACAGTATTGTCCTCATTCTTCCTCCTTTTTTTTTTGTCTTTCTAGTGTTCAATAAAATGAGGTCCCCCTACTCCCAAAAAGTATGAAAAATGAGCATTTCTCCCTGCTGTCAACTCTCCTCTGTTTCGAGGATGGTGTTGCTGTTGGAAAAGTGCAGAGAAAAGGCAAGCCCTGAAAGCCTGGGCTGGGACAACGGTGTGATGAGCCTGGGCCCAAGGGAGAGGAAGCTCTCCTGCATGCAGAGAGGCCAGTGCTGTGTGCTACCAGAAAAAGGCAGCGACTGCTCACAACATTGTTGGGGCAAATAACTAATCTCTTGTGGCTGTGGAAAACTTCCTCACCTTCAGCAAGGTGACATCATATCTCATCAGCAAAAAAATGAAACCTTCATTCCTTAGGTCCTAAAGAAAGAGGAAAAAATCCTGCTCAAAGAGAAACGCTCTAATTTTGAGACCTGATACAGTTATTATTTGTCTTTTCCTACCAGTTTACATGCTTTAGTATTGTCTGATGCAAGTGAAATTAAAGCATGTGGTAAGAAGAATCATCACTTCGCTATATATCAAGGGTGTGCAGTGAATGCTATACACGTTATAACCAGTGAAGTATCTACAATTCCAGGAGAAAAAAAAAAGGCATATGCTGTATGACATGACTCCTTCATTTATTTCATTACTAGATTGGGGAAGTCCTATTATTTGGCATTAAGGATCTGCTTTGAGGATCATGTAAACCCATGAAAAATAAAAGGCTCACTTATGCAACGAAGAAACC